CCTAATTAACACTTATTGTTAACAGGGGTGGAGTGATACTGGCAATAGCAGCGCTGTAGGAGGGGGACAGCTGAAAACGGAGTCTGTGTTGGGACATTCTTTTGAACAGTGGCTGCTTTGTTTCCCCGAAACAATGTATAACTGGTCGCAGTCCTCCTGGCACTTAACAGCATATACAACATTGCTCTGTTTGTGCCGGGGCACCGGATCTTTGGGGTGAACCAGCCTTTGCTGTAATGTGTTTTGGGGTTTGAAAGCCACTGAAGAAATCTCTTGGAGAAGAGACGAAACATTTCATAAGAGAAGAACCCGTCCAGAAGACCTATACAATTTTTTTCTTTCTGGAGGGACTATGTTTCTCTGCTGGCCTGGGAACGCCTTGGGATTCCCCTAGACAAGCTGGCCTTAAGTGGCTGGGGAGAGGGAAGTCTGGGTCTCTCTGTTTAGGCTGCTGCCCCTGCGACCCGAACCCGGATAAGCGGCAGAATATGGACGGATGGACGGCAGAGAAGGTTTGGCTAACTTGTCATGTGTGCAACCCACATACTCAGCTCTACTACTCATCCCACAAATACATGTTCCTTACAAATGTAGCACCATTTAAAATGTAAAATAACAGACTTTCCAACAGTATAAGATTTATTACCAAGTTTGCTAAATTTGTTAAATTGGAAACGCACAGAAAGCTGTCTGTCCTAAACGGTTAGATTTGACTGTCCACTAACCATTTGTTCTAATATAGTGGTATTATGGGGCAGAAACACATTATTACATTTTTGTTTTTTTACTAAATCAAAACCATTTTTACATAAAACAGTTTTGTTGCCTGAGACCAAAGCAGTCTAAGCTGAGTAAGGTAGCTATTTTGTGAGATGGGTAGTCTGTTAGCCTTAGGGGGCAAAGACTTGGCGATTGTTATGAGGGGGGCTATTGGCTGTGTGACACACAAAGTCTAAGTCCTGATTTAAGCCTGTCTGGCCTCTCTGTGGGGGCCAGATTGGCTTTGGGGGGCCACACACACACAAGTTTCACAAGCTGTGAAAGGAATCAA